GCCAGATTAAACCTTGTTGTAGCCTATATATTATGCTCTATTCATCATGTATTAGAAACCTCGCAATTTTCTGCTCAATTTTAAACGGTGTTCTTGTATTCAAATTAAGTGCGGTCGCTGCACACACTCGCATTTTTCTGCTCAATTTTAAACGGTGTTCTTGTATTCAAATTAAGTGCGGTCCACTGCTGCACACATGCCACAATATCGATTCAGGGCCAGCTGTATCGATACTCGTATCGTCAAATCTCTGTGACGATGTATCGAACACAGCACTAGTATTTAGCCTAATATTTAGCGTTCATTCATTTGTTTCCCACTGAAGTTACATGTAGATAGGTTTTGCCTGTGTCAGATGTATTTTGTCATGTGTCTGCTGTCTGGGTGTGGTTCATTCGGTTGTAGTGTGTTTGAGATGCTGCATGTCAATAACAGGTTTCCTGTGTGTTTATAGGTCGGCCTGCGCAGTGGGCGGAGCCTCTGGATGCACTCTGACCCCGTATCCCGCAAGAACGAAAGTGTGAATGCAGAGGTGAGTGAGGAGGAGGAGAGGAAACACTCCCTCTCTTCTCTCATCCATTATCTCTCTCGCCCTCACTCTCTCTCGCCCTCTCTCTCTCTCCTCTCATGCGTTATGTCTCTCTCTCTCTCTCTCTCTCTCTCTCTCTCCCTCTCCTCTCATGCGTTATGTCTCTCGCCCTCTCTCACTCTCCTCTCATGGGTTATTTACACCAAATACACAAAATAATGTTTTTTTTAGCAGCATCATATGACCCCTTTAATCCAAATGATGCATGCTAAGTGAGTGAACATCAAAGATCACACAACAGAAGTGCGCTCGCTCTGTCTCTCTCTCTCTCTCTCTCTCTCTCGCCCTCTCTCTCTCTCGCTCTCTCTCTCTCTCCCTCGTTAAGTAACTTCTGCATTGTTTTACTTACTTGTTTTTGACGTATCCGACCGAACTACAAACTTTCCAGTGATGTCTGTGAGAAAGATATATTCACTCTCTCTCCTCTCATGCGTTATGTCTCTCGCCCTCTCTCTCACTCTCTCTCTCTCTCTCTCTCTCCTCTCATGTGTTTTTATGTCTCTCGCCCGCTCTCTCTCTCAGGTGTTGGATCTGATGAACAAAATGCAGTCTGCTGCTGCTGGTCTGAATGTCTCGTTGGGTCATCCGTTGTTCACGCAGCCGCTGCCGCCCTCGTCTCTCCAGCGGTTCCTGCGAGCCAGACCGATCCCCGGCCTCGTGCTGGCAGACCATCAGACATTGTTCAACAACAGGTCTCTGTTCACAATTCATCTGCCTTTTAGTTTTTAACATTTCAAAGTGAATCGTAATTGAGCGGATCATGACAGAGTCTTGATTCTTTGCATGATCTTCAGTAACTATAATAATGATAATCAAGACTTATTCTGACCAAGATCCGTCACTTTATTTTCTGACGTTATTGTTAGGTGTTAGTAAATCTGAAATTGTATATAACTTTGAGGACAAACGTAAAATACTTTAGTCGATGTGCTGAACATCTAGCTATTTCTGCTGTATTTTGTTTATTATTGTTTAATTATTATACATGCACTGTAAAAATGTTCACCTAATTCAACTTAAAAACTTAAGTTCAGTAGCTGCCTTACATTTTTAAGTATAATCAAATGGGCCGTTTATTCAAGTTATTTCAACTTAAGTTATATTAAACTGACTTAAGAAAAATGTAGCTGAATCTTGTATAATTTAAAAAAATGTTGATATTGGTTAAATTAATTTGATGAGTTTAAGTCATGGAGAAACATATGATGGCATGACTTATTGATACACAGAATATTTGTAACCAGCATGTAATTTTTTCTAGGACTTCATTGACTATAAAGCATATTTTATTGTAAAAACTCGCTTTAAGTGATATTAGGCAACCGTTTTTTTTTTCCTGGGAAAATTTTGGATTTTTAATCAGATATCAAGCTAAAATAGCTCATATAATTGCTCTAATTTCTATACTGTTGTACGTAAAATATTATTGAATTATTTTATGTAGTTTTCATTATTTATTGAAGTATTTTTGCTGTTGTGGCTATTTTAATAAATTGTAATTTTATTTAATGTGCCATGAAAATAGCATCTCCTGCTGATATATTATTGAATTGAATTTAATTCAACTTGAATAAATGAAGAAAAAACAAATGAGCTTTCAGAAATAAAAATATTCTATTTAAAATTAACTGCAGAATACAAAAAAAGTGATTTAAAGTACTTTTTTCCTTCCTTTCTTTCTTTGCTAAATTAAATTCAAATAAAATAAAATAAATGAATGAATAAATAAATAAAAATGGAAAAAAAACATGGAATATTTTAATTATTAATAATTTAATAATATTTAAATTTATTTGTCACATTGCAAAACTATTTAAAATGAACTACTAAGGACAAAAAGGTGATTAAAATGATTTTTCCATATATGCTGACACATTTTAGCCTACTAATCTTGATATTGATTTTAAAAAGTCCATGTACATGCCATATATCAACTACCTTTTTAAGGTTTTATATCATGAACACAAGTGTTGTCGAATCCAGCGTCTAGTTCTTCCTGAGAAGTCTCATTGTAGCTGTTTTCTAACGTGTAAAGCCTTTCTGTTCAGAGAAGCTCTTGTCATGTGTGTCTGAAGCCACATGTTGTGTGTTTTCTGTCATCTGCACCTGACACAGATACTATGAGAGCATGTACGATGACGTAGAGAACCTGAACGTCACGTATCCACCCGACCTGAGTCCAGACGAGCAGCTGGTGTACGAGACGGACGCGGCCAAGGTGTGTAACTCCTGCGGATGTGTTTGCTGTGGTTGAGTCGGCGTCAGTGCTTTTGAACTCGTCTCAGCTCTTCTCTCTGTGTGTTTTTGCATCCGCACTCACTCAGTCTCTGGCAGAAGTGGCCACACTCGTCGCTCGCTCACTTTACTTACAGGCGGGAGGAGAGGATAAGAGCCTGAGCAACATCACCGCTGACCCCAAGATCGTGAGTCACATGACCAACACACACACACACACACGCGCACACACACTCACTCACTCACTCACGCGCACACACTCACGCACACACTCACACTCACACTCACACACACACACTCACACTCGCGCACACACTCACACACACACACACACACACACTCACACTCGCACACACACACACACACACACACAGATCGTGAGTCACATGTTTATATATATATATATATATATATATATATATATATATACACACACACACAAAATGATATTATGTATTATAAAATGTTAACATATGTTAATTATAGAACATAAGAATATGCAGTAATATTTAATAAATATATACATTTAAATATTATTGCACATACATGTATAGTATTGTATGTATATATAATAAAATGTAAATATTTGTAATTAAATTCCATTTAATTATATATACAGCTGGTTTCGGTCGCTGCTGCCTCCTGAAGTCACTAAGAAAGGAGACAACAGTATTCTGAGTGAGACCATCTGTGTTTACACTCCATTCTCACACATAAACACACATAAATTATATGATATGATATGATATGATATGATATATAAAGGAAGTCGGTTCATCCGAACATGAAAGCAAATCATCATTCATGTTGTTCCAAACCTATGAATGATGTTTTCCTCCATGCAACATAAAGTGGCATATCTTTGCATGGAGTGAAAGTGTAAAAAAGTAGTCCACATCAGAAGTCACATGATTGATTGATGTGAGGAGCAGACGCAGATAGAAGTGGTTTTTGACAGCGGGAGGAGCATCAGCATGTTTCTGACTGCGTCTCCTGTGGTTTTTAGGCTCTGGTCCTCCTCAGTTCTACATCGGACTCGGTCCTCGCATCCACGGCCCAGTTCACAGCGTCACGCGCTTCGTTCAGTACATTCTGGCTAATCTGACGGGAACCGTCACCAACCTCACGGAGAGCCAGTGCCAGAATCCCAGCGAGATCAACACCGAGAACAAAGACGTGAGCAAAGCTTCATCTCACTGACTGCAAAAAATCATCTTAGTATTTATGTCTTGTTTTCTAGTACAAATATCTAAACATTCTTGAATCAAGATGCATTTACTTGACAGGTGAAATGACTTATCCTCCTGAGACCCTGCGACCTCATACGAGGTCATTATATTTGAGTGAATTTCTCTGAGACTATACATGCCACAGTTGTAAGTCTGGATGTCCTGTACAGAGCACATCCAGGGCTTTTCAGAGATACTAAATGTTTGGATGTTTCACCGTCACCACTCCCTCTCCTTGGTCTTCAAAACTGTCTGATATTAATTTAGTGACAATCTGACTCATTTTTTAACTGTGTGTCATTTTTAAAAAAAATCCTCTACCAAGGACGTAGCATAACTTATGAATGAAATATAATTTAAAAAAAAATGTTTAATGCTCTAAACAATGTAATGACATGAAAAAATAAAATTTTTTTGCTAAAATGTTTTGCCAGGGCTTAAGAGGTTAAGATTTTAAGTCTTGTTTTAAAAAAAAAAAGGATCAAAATTTTGTTAGTTTTTGCTTAAAATGAGCAAAAATATCTGCAAGTGGGGCAAGAAAAATGAATTAAAATGACTTGTCTTACCCCATTGGCAGATATTTTTGTTTGTTTTAAGCAAAAACTAACAAAATTTTAATCCTTTTTCTGGAAAACAAGACTTAAAATCTTAAGTCATTTCACCTGTGAAGTAAATGCATCTTGATTCAAGAACCTTTAGATATTTGTACTAGAAAACAAGGCATAAATACTAAGAAAATTATATGACTGATTATATATTAGATTGTTACTTTTATTTATTTATTTATATTTTTTTTAACTGCATTTAGTGTGGAGTTTGCATGTAAAATTTTGTTGGTGGGTACAATGAAAGTTGTACACATACAATAACAATAAAGAAATTCTATTCAAAATCATGTTTTACAGTGAAATCAAGGGGTTACAGTATGAAATCATAACGTTTTAAAGTCAGTTACAGAAAAACTGATAACCTCTTGGTTCTTACGACACAGTCTTTACATGGTGACAGTGTTTATGCAGCTGGCCCCTGGTTTTGGTTTCAAATGAGAGTCGTTAGGTTTTTAACGACCCCAAAAGATTAATAATTAAGTCAGTGTCCTACATAGACCACACAATCCCAGAATGCATTGTGACGAGCCTAGTAAATATTTTCATACAAGGTGGTGGACTGATTTTTATTTATTTTATTTCATTTTATAATTAATTCATTTTCGGTTTCAATCATTTTTAAATCAATTATTTATTTGTATTTATTTTTATATTAATTATTTATGGTTTTATATGCATATATTCAGGTAAAGTTGGATGTACATATAATGAGCTCTGTGTTTCCCAGAATGCTCTATTCTCATGCTCTGTGTCTGTTTCCCAGAATGCCCTGCTCTCATGCTCTGTGTCTGTTCTCTCTCAGTTGTTCTCGTATTTTTGGGTGTCGGGTCCGGCGTCGCTCAACAGCACCGGAGAGCCGTTCTGCGTCCGAGCGTCCGTGCGTCTCTCCAAAGCCGTCTCTCCTGCCTTCGAGCTTCTGGAGTACGGCTCTCCAAATTATTCCACATGGACCGAGTCCCGCTGGAAGAGCATCCGAGCGCGCATCTTTCTGGTGGCCAGCAGAGAACTGGAGGTAATGCAGCACTGTTAGAGTTCAGTGTCTGTTTCCCAGAATGCCCTGCTCTCATGCTCTGTGTCTGTTCTCTCTCAGTTGTTCTCGTATTTTTGGGTGTCGGGTCCGGCGTCGCTCAACAGCACCGGAGAGCCGTTCTGCGTCCGAGCGTCCGTGCGTCTCTCCAAAGCCGTCTCTCCTGCCTTCGAGCTTCTGGAGTACGGCTCTCCAAATTATTCCACATGGACCGAGTCCCGCTGGAAGAGCATCCGAGCGCGCATCTTTCTGGTGGCCAGCAGAGAACTGGAGGTAATGCAGCACTGTTAGAGTTCATTACAACTAAATACATTAAATAAATTCCTTGAAATAAAATGAAATATTTAAAAAAAAACAAAAAAAAAACAGAAATCAGCATTTTTCATTCCCATTTAGTTTAGCTTGATTTACTAAAATAACTACAACTGAAATTAAAGTGATAAATTATATAGACATATTTTAAAATAATGCTAATAATAATGAGAGCAAAAACACAATAAAATTAATAAAAATGACCTCATAATTAAAATGAAAGCAGAAAATATAAAACTATAATTCAAAGTATTAATAAAACTATAATAGTATTTTAATTATGTAAAAACTGTCACAGTTGCCATAAACATAAATCAGATTTATTTTGATCACTAATTAGTAATAATTAGTAATTTAGTTCTACATCTATAACGGGGTGAACTGCCGGAAATCTATTAAATACATGTCTGTCATATTTCTCATCATAATTCAAAGACTAAATAAATGATGTACTGCATTATGATATTTTATAAGGCATAAGATTTTTGCAGATTTGAATAAAAATGCATCCATAGTATGACAATGCAAATGTTTTGCATTACAGTATTGAGAATCTGGATTTAAATGTGTTTCTCATGTAAATTATGTCTTAATGCACGAAACTCATAATGAACCTAAAATATGCATTATTATTCTAATGCAAAAATATATTTTCTTATTTTCTTTTCAATTTTTAAAGTGAAATGCGACCTGATTATGTCTAATAAAAATATCTGAAGTATTCTCAGTACAGTAAATCTAGAAATACATTATATACACTATTTTCTTTATGTAAATATATTTTCTTATTTTTCCTCCTCGACATGCAAATGTTTTGCATTACATTATTGAGAATTTAGGGTTAAATGTCTTTAATTGTCATCATGTAAATAATGTCATAATGTACAAAGTCATAATTAACCTTAAAATATGCATTATTTTCTTTATGCAAAATATATTTTCCTATTTTTTGTCCTTTTTTTTAAGTGAAATGTGACCTGATTATGTCTAATAAAAATATCTGAAGTATTCTCACTACAGTAAATCTAGAAATGCATTATATAGATGATTTTCTTTATGCAAATATATTAAATTTTTCCTCCTCGACATGCACATTTTCTGCATTACAGTATTGAGAATTTAAGAATAAATGTCGTTAATTGGCATGTAAATAATGTCATAATATACAAAAATCTTAATGAACCTAAAATATGTTATTTTCTTTATGCAAAATATATTTTCTTATTTTTTTTCCTCCTTTAATTTTGAGGTGAAATGCGACCTGGCTCTGTTTTGATTTTGTGATTTATGTATTTATATTTCCTCTCTGTGTTTGTGTCTGGTAGATGTTAACTCTGGGAGTGGGCGTGGCCGTGCTGCTGCTGTCTCTATTGGTGACCTACTTCATCAGCTCGAAGGCGGAGCTTCTGTTTAGCTCCGCCCGTGAAACGCCCACAACGGCCTACTGAACAAAACCAGAGTCCAGAATCTCCAGCCGCTCATTCATTCATTCATTTCCCTTCAGCACACAAACACACTTCAGTTCACGAGTAATTTATTCAAACCTGACGGGATTATTGTTGGTTTTGCTGCCATGGTTTTAGCTGGGCTGGTCTGGACCCTTCTGGAAAGTTTTTTATACATATATAATTCCAGATGTTTTTTCTGATCATGACATGGACGGGCACATGTGTGTGTGAGTGAGTGAGTGTGCTTGTGTGTGTGTCTCTGTGTGTGTGTGTGTGTGTGA